TTGGGAAGCTTTACCAGAGACACAGAAAACTTTGTACACCTGTTTTTATTGCTAGGAGGTGAGAAAACTGAACCTACACGAGTCCAACTGAAAAACAACATCATTTTATAGAAACGTCAAAAGCGTTCCGATCGTTTTGTCACGGTGCTGTTCTACAGAAAGACAATCAAACGTCGTGTGATAATGCTGCTCAGCCATATGCTCTACACTGACCTGCTAATACTTTGTAGTGTTTGATTTCCTGACATACCTCATCATTTAAACATTTGTATATCAATCGCAGGCTTGGCTTTGAAACTTCAAAGCAGCACATCAGACACGTAGCCCTGTCATATAATAGCTGCTAAGTAGCCTGCTCGGTGTCCTGGCCAGAGGGGAGCCCCGGGGTGTGAACGCCGGCCAGCTGGAAACCTCAGCCCGAGCAGGCCACCTCCTCTCTCGGGCTTTCTACCCTCTTCAGGAATGTGTGATTCTTTTCCAGCACTGCTTCCCCAAACCACCACTCGGTTAGAGAACAGTGCGGCGCTGATCCGCGATGGCACAGCTGTGGTATTGTCTGTTCCCCGGGGTGGTGTGTGACAGTGGCTCCCTTGGCCAGCTCCATTGTGAAGCTTCATTCAGCGCAGAGTGCTGGTGTAGGCTTTTTGTGTGCTGTTATTTAGCACAGACGACTGATGTTGGCATGTCTCCGGCCCGTACTGTAGAACTGAGTGGGTAAATGAGGCAGGTCTCATTTTGACACTTCAAAGTGATTATGCTGAGCTTTTGTTGTGTCCTTGAAGGGGACCTTGCTTACCAGACTCTCTTGTATCATTGTCATTTTTCATTTTTAATTTTCCTTTGATCTTTCTTTTTGAAAATGTATTCAGTGTTGTTTTGTGTTAAATGTTTTTTTTCTCCCTCCGTGTTTCACCAATTTCATTACTTCAGCTAAAAAAAAAAAAAAAAAAGTTGTATTATGGGTAATTTTCTTTCCTAAACCACCAAGTTTGTGCTCCGTTTCAGGCTTCATGCATAATATTTGTCAGTCAGTTAATTACCCCAGTGATGACGCAGACGTTTTGGCGGGGTGGATCAGTTCAGGGTAGAATAGTCTCGTTGTCAGCCGTGTTATTCTCCTGCCACGTCTCAACCGGGCCATTGTCACTGAGCCACAACATTTCAGCACAGCAGCATCCTGCACAGCATTGAGTCGCGATAACGGGAAACACGGACACACTGGTGTCAGAATGTGTCCTGCTTTATCCGTGCGCCCTGGGAGCAGCCAGCCTGGAGAATGAGCTGTGGAGAGGCTGAGAGGCTGACTGGGACCCAGGTGGTCCCGCGCAGACAGACAGGTCATTTACAGCCCGCACTGTACACACATCGCTGGGCTCTTACGGACTGACAAGCTCTAACAGAGAGATTTGTCAGGCACTCAGGGAGAATAAAGAAGTTGAAGAACAGGAGTGTGTGTGTGTGTGTGTTGTGTGTGTGTATCTTTGAATATGTGACGAATGCTGGCTATCAGCTCCAGAAGCAGGAACAGACTCGGTGTAATAACCCCGTCTGCGGACCCCCATGACTGTTCTGCACCCTGCGTCACCCCCCAACCAGCCCCCCTGCTAGGTGTGTGAGCTGTGAGTTAATTGTCATGCAGGGAGGTAAAATTATGGGTGCGGGAGGTCTCTGCACCTCAACAAAAGTCCCCATCTGCCCTCCTCCACCCACCTCC